AGGAAGGAAGGAAGGAAGGAGAAAGTCAGTATGGGAAAAGAAAAAATAACAAAGAAAACCAAAGGCTCGATTTTCTTCCCTGTGACTCCCCTCCCTTCCTCCCTCAGCTCCTCTTCTCCAGACAGAAACTGGCCTCCAACTCTCCATCCTGCCTCCCTCGCCTCATGCCAGGATCACGGGTCTGTCCTGTTTCTCGGGTGTCATTGTACCGTTGCTTCGGAAAGCTTTCCGGGAAAAGTGCTCTGACACCAGTGGGAAGGGGAGAGATGTCACCTGGGACCAAAGCCAGGAGAGCTCCCGAAAGGCCTCTCATCCTGGGGTCAGTTTTTATATTCTAGAACCACAAGGCAGAACTGGCAAGCGAGCAGGGTTCCCAGGAGCCCACAGACGGCTGTTAGAGGTGACCCACTCTTCAGTGGTTTCTCCAGGTCATTCTGTTCAGGTAGCAGTGACGTCATGCCTGTCAAACAGGCGGCACAAACAGGCTTTAAGTGAATCACCAGATAAATCAACAAATCAGGATCTAATAATAGTTTTTCCACCATTAGAGCCAATTCATTCAAACTTCCTCTGTGTCAACTGGGCCTTTTCTGAACTTTGTGGGAATTTTATGACCAGCCATGAAGTTTTGTGGTAAACTGCACCACAAACCACAGCCCCACATCTCTGCTCAATTGAAAAGGATGTGTTCCAGCCCAGCAGTGGTGGTCCACACCTTTAATCCCAGTGTTCAGGAGGCAGAGGCAGGAGAACAAATCTCCATGAGATCGAGGCCAACCTGGTCTACAGATCAAGTTTCAGGATAGCCATGACTAAATAAGGAAACCCTGTCTTAAAACAAAACAAAAATTAAAGAAGAGGAGGAGGAGGAGGAGGAGGAGGAGGAGGAGGAGGAGGAGGAGGAGGAGGAGGAGGAGGAAATCCTAGGATTTGGAATGGCTTATTTGGGAATACAAAAATAAACAAACAAACAAACAAAAAAGATGTCTTGATGTTGAAGCCTGTTATTCCCTTGGAAACTACAGCTCCCAGACTTCTCCTGGATTACCGTCACCTGTGCGCCGGGCGTGCCCAGGTGCGGGTCTCCCAGATAACCTTGCACCCCCCGTTAAAAGCGAGCCTCCACGAGGTCTCGTTCTCTCTCACCCCCCACCCTTGTGTGTCTGCACATCCCATCCCTTCTTGTGTTCCCCTCTCCCCATTAAAGTGCACCCACGTGGGAGCCGCGTGTCCCGTCTCTTCCTTTTGCGTCTCGCCTATCCTGTGTTTGTCCACACACCCACGCCACCGCCGTTTTTAAAGGAATAATAAAGCCAACCAAGGTCACTGTCTATGCCTAAACCTACAAATGAGTCGGAGAGAGTCTGAAGCAGCTATGGTGTGGTGGTGGGCACCTATAACCTCAGCAAGTGGAGGGAGAAGAATCGGAGTTCAAAACCAGACCCTACCTCAAAGAAAAAAGAAAGGCTGGTCAGTTTAAGGATGAAGTGCCAATTGTGGGGGTTTGAATGGAATCCAAGAGTTTACTAGAGTTTCGGTTTTTGTTTCTTTGGGAAAGGGTCTCATTGAGCCCAAGCTGACCCAGAACCCCTCCCCATCCTCCTACCTCCTCTAAGCTCTAGAATTGTAGATGTGAGCCACCACTCCAGGAGGAGGCTGGTTTTCAAGTGCATGCGGACAGGGAGCAGGGTTTCTCTGGGCCAGGCCAAGAACAGAGTTGGTCCTGCCCTTAAAGACGTTGGATTCTGTGATGGTGGACTATACACAAGAGGAGGATCTCAAGCTTTCTCTTAGGCACTGTAAAGTTTTTGTGGCCTGGTAGGGCTCTCCGCCGATGCAATAATCCAAATAAAACCCAATTAGAAGAAGCCCAGGTTTAATGGGTGCCAGCGCTCCCGGGTGGCCCTTCAGGCTTCCTGGGAGAAAGATGGGGAAGCCATGGAGAGGGGAAAGGAGAACCAGAAAGATCACATGTTTGTTCTCTGGGTCTTGACCCTCTCTGCAAGGGACACTCCTGAACTGGGGTCAACAGTTTGGTGGCAAAGGCTGTTAACCCTCTCAGCCATCTCCATGGTGCTCTCTCCATCTTCTCAAAAAAAAAAAAAAAAAAAAAAGGATTTCTGGATGCTTTTCAAGTGAAACAGGCTAACTGCGTGCCAACCTTGCTCTGTCTTTGAAGAGCAGATAGCCGAGTTGAACACTTTCCCTTTGGACTGACATGTCACCTGTGCTTTCCCGCCCGCTACCCACAGCCCTGCCCAGCTGGCAGCAGGAAGGTCAGCAAAGCTGCTGATAAGAGGGGTATAAAGAGGGCTTGCCTCATGGCAAGGGGCAGTGGGCTACCTTCTCGGCAACATGTTGCGCTTCCTGGTGCTCGCCTCCTTGGTCCTGTGTGGTAAGTGGATCCTTTGGCCTGAGTCCTAAGGGAGGGGGATTTGAACAGCAGGATCAGAAAGTCTCTAAGCCCAGACCAGCTCTCTCTCTCTCTCAGAGGAAGGTGCAAAGCCACGCCTAGCAGAATCCTTACTCTCCCAGGGCAAAAGACGGGCAAGGTTGAGGAGCACTGCCTGACTGGCCACACAGGACTGAGGGGCACTGACTGGCCACGCAGGTGCCTGCTAGGTGACAGGTGCCTGAGCCAAGAAGTATAAAGAAGCCCCTTTGAGGGTTCCCCACCATCCCTCATAACCGCAGGACACCGCCAGCTCGATGGCTGTCAGTAGCTCCTGGAGAATCCCGCCAAAGCCTGGGAGGGGTTCCTCAAGCTGAAGGGTGACCTTGAGGCAGGAGGAGCAGGCACCTGTGGGCCCCTAGCCTGGTGATTTGGGAAAGGTCCTTCCCTGCCAGCCAGAGTTCTTACACACCCCAAAGAAAGAAGGGGCTCGGGCTCCGTTTTCAAAAGAGACAGAAGGGGCACAGACAACTCAGGGCTGGGCCCCTGGGCCTGTTTCGGGAGGGCTGTGAATTTGCAGACAAAGCTAACAGTCTTCACAGCCCAGCTGCCGCTCCCCGCCCCCGCCCGGCTGCCCCCACGCTGAGTCATCAGTGCCTTTTCTTCTGCCCCACAAAGGACACAGCACCCAGGACTTTCCAGAAACTAATGCACGGGTGGTCGGAGGGGCTGAAGCCCAGAGGAACTCTTGGCCATCTCAGGTGGGTGTTTCTCCCTGCCCAGGATTTTACCCAAACAAGAGATAATAATGTGTAGCCCCCAAAATTAGTTTACATGTCTACTGGGTTTATCTTCAGCAGCTCACTTGCTGTCTAATTCTGAATTTTAAAGATGTGTGGGGCCAAATTAAGGTGGAACTCGAACTGCAAAAGACCTGGGTGAGGAAACTCAAACCGGTGTGTGTGTGTGTGTGTGTGTGTGTGTGTGTGTGTGTGTGTGTGTGTGTGACAGAGACAGGCAGACAGACACAGAAAGTGCCGAGTTCCACAGCACAGCTAGAGCCTCCCGCCATGTTTGTGGCGGGGCCTCCCATGCTTCTGCCGCTGCACTGCATACTCTAAACTAGTGCCAACCCCTTGCTCTCTCACTGACCCCCTCAAAAATCCCTCTCACTCTTGTCTCCCCCTCTCACTTCACCACAAGAGTGCTGGGAATCACAGGTGCTCACCATCACGTCCAGGCTTCAGTTTGCTGTATGAGACAGGTTCTCACCATGAGGCCCAGCCGGCCTGGAACTGGCAGTGTAGACCAGGCTGACCTCAGACTCAGAGATTCTACCTGCCTCTGCCTCCCGAGTGCTGAGATGAACACACCGGTTTCCTTCCTTCCTTCCTTCCTTCCTTCCTTCCTTCCTTCCTTCCTTCCTTCCTTCCTTCCTTCCCTCTTTCTTTTTTCTTTTCTTTTCTTTCTTTCTTTCTTCCTTGTACTCTTGGGAGGGGGCAGATTTTATTTATTTATTTATTTTGTTTGTTTATGTTGTTTTTATTGAGCTATATATTTTTCTCCACTCCACTCCTCCCTTCCTCTCCCCTCCCCTTCTATCATCTCCTATGGTCCCCATGCTCCCAATTTGCTCAGGAGATCTTGTATTTTTCTACTTCCCATGTAGATTAGGTCCATGTATGTCTCTTTTAGGGTCCTCATTGTTGTCTAGGTTCTCTGAGATTGTGAATTATAGGCTAGTTTTTCTTTGCTTTATGTTTAAAAGCCACTTATGAGTGAGTATGTATGATATTTGTCTTTCTGAGTTTGTGTTACCTCATTCAATATGATGTTTTCTAGATCCATTTATTTACCCACAAATTTCAAGATGTCCTTTTTTCTGCTGTATAGTACTCCATTGTGTAAATGTACCACATTTTTCTTATCCATTCTCCGGTCGAGGAGCGTTTAGGTTGTTCTCAGGTTCTGGCTATGACAATGCTGCTATAAACATAGGTGAGCACATGCCCTTGGAACACACCAGTGTCTTACACGGGTTTCAAGGATTTATACCCAGGCCATCAGGCATAGTAAGTGATTTACTTGTGACCCAAACTTCATTCCTTCCTTCTGTAATATGAGGGCTTGAACCCAGGACTCCATCATGCATGGCAAACGTTCTTCCTCTGAGTTACTTCCTTACCCCACAAGCTGTTGTTATTCCTGTGATGGCCTGCGCGACACAGTTCCAGACTGTGTGCCAGGTGGACCCACAAGGCTCCACATGCCCTAAAACACACATGTACCCACCACTCCGCAGTGTAAGGCCCACATGCCAAAAACACAGAGGCGTGAAGTTTCTTTGGCTCATGTTTTCATAGCCTTAAGAGGACACTTGTGCCCGACTCGCTGCAGATATGAATACATAAAGCTGGCTTGCTAGCTGCTCGACAGCCACGCTTCCGGAGGAATCACCGCAATTACAATTAGATTTAATTTATAGCAATCTGAACCCAATTCTCGGAAGTAGATCTATTGTGTAATATGAGAAAACACAAACTGATTACAAAGAGAAAACAAACAAAGAATATTCCGTTGGCATTTCTAAGTACTCCCTGGTGTGCGAGGCCAGGGTACTTCTAGAAGACATTGAAGGGAGGACCCTGGAGACCTGAACCTGCAGGGCTCGGGTGAAGGAGAAACACTTGGCTCCCTTTGGAACGGAGATGATGGAAGAACCTGAGTTCTAAGCCCATGGGCGGTGACATCCTACTGGAGAGAGGCCTGAGGCACTTGCCGTGACTTTACTTTCCCATGTGCGCATAGCAAATGTCACCAAACGGTAGAGACTCTGTCCAGCTGACCCCAGAAGCAACTATATACCTCTTCTGGGCAAGCATTCCACATAGCCTCTTCCAGCCAGTCTGGTGCAATCGGGCAGTGGTGGTTTGGGGGTGGGGAGCTGGTTTTGAATGATGTCAGGAGTTTTAAAAGGGGCGACTCCAGCCCCCCATGCTTTCTTCTTTCCTAGATTTCCCTCCAGTACCATGATGGAGGGTTATGGTACCACACCTGTGGAGGGACCCTCATCCGGCGAAACTGGGTCATGACAGCTGCTCACTGTGTGGACAGGTGAGGAAACAGAAAGCGACCGGCCCCTTTGGACTTCTCCAGACAGAACTAGCAATGGACCATCATCGAGCCCGTGTGTTTGGGGGTCATGGAAGGGATGGTATAAAGTACAAGTTTTGGAGTCCAGCAGGTTCAGATTCAAATCTTATTCCAGCATCTTCTGGCTGTGTGACCTCTGCTCTGCTCTCTCAGTCTCTCTGAAGCGGGAAAGTAATGCTGACAGCTGAGGAAACACTTAAATGCTGACTCGCCATCCAGTACTGGTCCTTGCAACAAGCAAAGTTTCCTTTTTAAAAAGTTAGAATGTATTGTTACTATCATTATTGGTATTGTTGTTGTGTGTGTGTGTGGATGTGTGTGTGTGTGCATGATGCAGGGGGCACACGACATGATATCCATACAGAGGTCAGAAGACAACTTTGTGGAGTTGATTTTCCCGTCTCAGGCGTAGAAGTCAGGTTGTCACTCTTGCGCAGCAAACACCTTTATCCACTGAACCATCCTGCCTGTCCAGTTCCCGGATCTGAACAGATATTACAGTCACATGGAAAGCAGCAATTGGAGGGTCCACTCAGCGGAGTTATGATATGGCAAGTTCGGGGTGAAGCCTGATGGTTGCATTTCAGTGGGGGCCGTGCATGCGTGAACGAGTGTATACAGGTGTGTGATTGCCCATAGGAGAATTTGCGAGGTCAAAGGTCAACATCCGGAAGTCTTCTTAATCACTTCTCCACCTTATTTTTTGAAAGAGTCACTCACTGAACCTGGAACTTGATATTTTTGTTAGGCTGGGCTGAGAGGTCCTGGGACACATCTCCGCCTCAGTGCTGAAGTCAGAGGTGTCTCATCATGTTTGCGCAGTTAGCTTTTTTCCCACTGAGCCATCTCCCCAGACCCTGACAAGTTTCTAAGTGATGCAAACGGTGCTGGTCCAAGACATAGTTTAGGAGGTGCCGGTCTAGACAGTGTACAGTGATGAACATTTGTAACCCTGGTACAAGAGGCTAAGGCAGGAGGATTGAGGGTTTGAAGCCAGCCTGGGATGAGACAGTGTCTAAACCAACAACAACAACACACACACACACACATACAAACATACATACCACACGTGTGTGTGTGTGTGTGTGTGTGTGTAAAACCTCTAGAATTATTTCCCCACAGCGAGGCATCTTCTAGTACCATCGTATTCAACCTACACTGTTAGCTTAATGAACTGAAAATGCGCAGGGATTGTATTTTCTGCTGCCACGAGTCGATAACTTCAGGGAATGGGGGGGCTTGCCTTTTCTCACCTTCCAAGACGTTTTCCCTCCTCTGTCTAGGTCAGATAAGCTGAGCTCCTGAGCAGTCACCCACTTTCTTCCCTTTCTCCAAGCGGGGAAGAGAGATCCTCAGGCTTCCTCCTCTCTCCCCAGCCAGATGACTTTCCGTGTGGCCTTTGGAGATCACAACCTGAGCCAGAACGATGGCACCGAGCAGTTCATGAGTGTGCAGAAGGTTGTGGTGCACCCCAACTGGAACAGGAACAACGTGGCTGCAGGGTATGCAGGCGGCTAAGCTGGCTGTGGGCTGGGGCAGGGGCTGCCTCACCCCTGGGTCTGTTTTCTCCACTTGCTTGCCTGGGGCATAGAGGGATGGCTGAAGGTGTTTGGCTTCCATAGCCTGGCCTTGTAGAGTAGTGGGTGGAGCCTGGTGAGAGCCCCTTGTCCTGCAGCAGGCAGTGTGCTGGCTTCTCAGGCAGGAGCACGTGGACCTGGGTACCTGCTGAGTTATGGGTTTTCCTCTTGATCATGTGAGGATTTTCTGTTTTGATACCTCTGTTTTTCTGGGGGTCGGTATTTTAATTTGGTTTTGATATTTTGAGACAGTCTCTCATATAACTCAAACTGACCTTGAACTCACTTTGTGGCCGAGGTTGCCACCCTGACTCCCAAGTGCTGGATTCTAGGAACATAGCACCACAGTGCTTCGTCTGGTCTTTGCTATTTATTCACCATATGGAATATACTTCATGTGTACAAGAAAATTTTGCTAGGTTTTTGTTTGGCTTTGGTGTAGGAGAAGGCACCCAGATCCTTGGACATACCAGGCAAGGAAATTTCTCCAGGTGGCTGTAAAGTTTTGGAATGGCAATCACTAACGTGTGGCTAGGGAGCCCTCGGCGGGGCAGTCTTCTAAGGCAAGCGCTTGAGAGGCTAAGGCAAGATGATCAAGAGTTCAAAGTCAGTGTCAGCTCATAGCTAGAACAAAGACAGCCTGGGATCAAAAAGACCCAGGCTCTAAAACATCTAACCCTGTCTGCTGAAAAATGGGGACATAATTCAGTGGTAAAGTGCCTGCCTGACATGCTTATGGCTGTATTTGAAGCCACACTACTAGAAGAAAACTTGTGGTCACAGAAGGGCTGTACCTGTTTGAGAAGTCTATAGCCGAGAGCACGCCATCTGCTTTTTTACCATTCTGGCTGTCCACCCACCTAGGTTGCAAAGCAGAGCCAGGCTGCAATTCCAACATCCTACCAACAGGTGCTGCTGTTGCACACCTAATGTACCTCAGCTTAACAGCTTCCAAGTTTGTCCCCTCCTTTAAGGGTGTGTGTGTGTGTGTGTGTGTGTGTGTGTGTGTGCGTGCGCGTGCGCGCGCACGCGCGCGTACCTGTGTGTTTGTCTTTGTGTATGTCTGTCTGTGTGTGTCTGCCTGTGTGTGTGTCTACATGTGTTCACATGTGTGCAGGACCAGAAGTCATCAGATGGCATAGAGCTGGAGTTTCAGGCATCTGATGTGGTGCTTGGAGCAGGACTTGGATCCTCTGAACCGCAGACCTGCTCGTGAGTAAGACACCTCCTCTCCTCCTGCAGCTATGACATCGCCCTGCTGCGCTTGGCCCAGAGTGTTCCACTCAATAACTACGTCCAGCTGGGTGTTCTGCCCCAGGAGGGAAGCACCCTGGCTAACAATACTCCCTGCTACATCACAGGCTGGGGGAAAACCCAAAGTAAGTCATGCACACTTCCACCGTACACCACCGAGATTGATGAAACCGCTGTGCTCCTAGCACTTCTTTTTCTGTGGCCCTAGACATTTATACCCGAGACCAACAGCTTGGGGAACCACAGATCAAATCACTGATACAGCTGAGTCAGAGCTGGTTAGGAACGTGGAAACATTAAGGATAGCCCAGAAGCCTGGCAGCCACAAGGCAGGAGTGGGGTTCCTGGAGAAGCGTCAAGGCCTTACCTGAGCACAGTCTATTGGGAAAGCCAGGGGCAGACACAGGCAGACTTCTAATCCAGCTCTCAATTCTTGTAATAGCACTGTGGTTCTGTACCAGGAAAGGACTCTAAGGACCTACAGAAATAGCATCAGACACAAAGGCTTTCAAGACTCAAAAGAGCCATATAAAGGAAAACTGTACCCAGCTCTTTTTTAAATGGTTCATCTTTACTGTTTTTAACTATGTGTACACGTATATGTCTGCGTGTGTAGGAAGTGCAGAGTTCAGAAGAGGGTGTTTGCCCAGATCGGTGCTAGAAACTGAACTCAGGTCCTCTGCAAGAGCAGTAAGGGCTCTTAACCACTGAGTCTCCAGCCCCTGAACTCAGCTCTTACGAGAAGGAAATGAACCAGCTGTGGCATAGGCCTCTGGTCTTAGCACTCGCAGAAGCAGGTGGATCTCTGTGAGTTCAAGGCCAGCCTGTCCTACATAGTTCCAGAACAGCTATGGATACACAGTGAGACCCTGTAGAAGAAAGAAGTGGAAGAGGAAGAGGAGAAGGAGAAATAAGAGGAGGAGGAGAAAGAAGAGAGAAAGGGCAACAAGATACTGGCTACAGGAGAGGCTGCATCAGGGGACCGGGAGTTTGAGGCCTGCCTGGGCATTGCAATGAGGCTGCATTCCAGAAAATGAAAGGAGGAGAGGGTGAGGAGAGGGCCCGGTGGCCCCAATGCCTCTTCTGCTTTGCCCTGCTCCGTTCTGTGGGACTTCTGGTGTGAGCCGCAGAACAGGCAGAATTTATGGAGACCATGCTATTGCTTAGCTAAGTTATCCAGGAGCAGAAACAAGCAAAAGCAGGCCTGGGGGTCAGTGCCTGGGAACAGAGAACCTGTGGCTGCCATATACATGGGGGAGGGGGAAATCCATGACCTGCCACAAACAGAGAGGAGCCAGCCCCAAGTTTAGGTAACCAGATCGTGGGAAGTCTTGGTGAGATGTGAAAGGAAGAGTCCTCCCCTGTGCTGACTTCCAATGTGACATTCCATTCAGCCAATGGGCAGGTGTCTCAGACCCTGCAGCAGGCCTACCTGCCCAGCGTGGACTATGCCATCTGCTCCGGCTCCTCCTACTGGGGCCCCATGGTGAAGAGGACCATGGTGTGTGCTGGTGGGGACGGGATTCGCTCCGGATGCCAGGTGAGTGCACACAGGTGTGAGCCCCTTTGATGCTCTGCCTTTTGCTCACCCTCAGTCCCTTGCCCATCTTGCACCCAGGACAGATTTAGCCTTCTACTCTGTCACAGAACCTCAAAGTGGGAAGGAATAGGGAAATACCTTGCTCAGTATCCTTACCTCAAAAGCTGCTCTGTGGCCTAACACACCTGTGTTTGTGTGTGTGTGTGTGTGTGTGTGTGTGTGTGTGTGTGTGTGTACGTTCTTTAGAAGTTACTTGTGACCTAAATCCTTTTAATGGTATCTGTGGGGCTGGGCCTGTGGGGATGGTGGTAGTTAACGGTGTGAAAGGTAGCTTCCAACCCCTTTTCTTGTTTATCCCTTCTTCTTATACGCCTTTCCCTCGGCTGCCCTTCCCTCGGCTGTTTGCAGGAGTTGGTACAGGAGGGCACGGGAACCGGCACTAAGCAGTTTTATAATCTTTCTTATACAATGCAGAGAATTCTCTGCTTAGATAAGATCAATCCACAATAAACCACACTACAGTTGCTCAGTGCAGTTCACCCTGTGTCCGTTTGCACGTCTCTCACATACAGGAGCTGTGCTGGGTGTTAGGAACACAGGGAGGATTAAACCACAGCAGTGTGGCGTGCTGGCACTGTGGGCCCCAGTGTGCTGCTGTACCACTGGGACTAAAGACAGTGAGTGACATGGAGACTCCGGACAGTCACTGCCTGTCTGCCAGTCAGGAAAGACCTACCTGGTGAAAACCCGGGGCAGCCACTCAAAGGAAGGGGCGATGGATGAAGGCACTGGGGTCACAAGACCAGGGGGAGTCTCGGTCTTTCCCTTCGGCTAGAGTGAGCTAGGATCAGAGGCTCCCAAGTCATACCCAGCCTCCTACCTATTTGTGCATGGCTGCTGAGCTGTTGTTGGCTATGGTAGAACCTTCGGAGATGGCTAGAGAAACCCAAAGGATACTCCCTCAACTGTGAGCACAGTGTCAGGAGAACAAAGTCCTGATCCCGTCAGTGTCGCATAAACAGTCACGGAAGCGGACGTCTATAGTCCTAGCACTGGGGAGGGAGAGGATGAGGGCTCAGAACACCAATATCATCTTGGGCTACAAAAGTCAGGTCAAGGCCAGCATGGGATACATGAGATGCTATCTTGAAAACAGAAATAAAATAAAATAATAAAGCTTGGGAGAGAAAGCCAGGTGAGATGCCCTTGGGAATAAACGTCATCCCTCATTCCAAGGAAAAGTGGCAGAATAAGAAAGAGTAGTGGGTTGAGAAAGACCAACAAGAACAGAAAAGCTTGAGTGTTTCAGGGGTGGGTGGAGAAGAGAGAACACACCCAGATCCAAGAAAGGACGTAGACTTAAGAGATAAACATGTCATAAGATCTATAAAACCGGGGGAGACTGACAGGGCAGCTCATAGCTGGAGCTGCGGTGGACGACAGCTCTTTGTCCCGCAAGAGTCTCTGTAGATGGTGAGGGTAAAGCACAGTTGACAGGTAAGGGTAAAAAGACATTCTTCAGGGAATGTGGATCTTGCTTCAGAGCCTTGGATGAGGGAGAGGACAGACCCACTAGAGACAGAAGTCATGGAAAGATGGAACTTTCAATGGGAGGAAGAGTGTGAGTGGCTATGGGCAGAGAGGAAAGTGTCCTGGAGACCCAGAAGAATAATGGACGGCCATGACCCCAGTAAGGAAGGGAGGGGTGAAGCCAGAGCCCAGGTGGAGCTAGCTCTAACTGGGGGGAGGGGGAGGCTGCAGGCAACGGGTGTCCCCTGCCCGTGAACAGGTTTGCAGGCAGGTCTTGTGTTTTGTTGCTTCTGGTTACTCATGAACTAGGAAGTCAGTTTGACTACAGAAAATGAAGGCGCAAAGGTTTACGTGAGCGGGAAAGGGTTGTCCTTCCAGGCCATGAGGCTGGCACAGGCCTCTCTCTCTCTCTCTCTCTCTCTCTCTCTCTCTCTCTCTCTCTCTCTCTCTCTCTCATAGACCCAGTTAAAAAGCGATGGGTTAATTCCCGGCTGGGTTCCCCCCCCCCCACCTGGCAACAGCACAGGAGTGCGGTTTGATTTCAAGGTCCAGCTTTGTCAAAGAGGAAGGGAAGTTTGCAGGAGGCCGTTGTGCTAGGACAGAAGGATCAAAGGATTTTGTGAACCCAAAGAACTACAGGATGTAAAGTGGCCATTGCTGTTCCAATTTTCACTGTTAAAACGTAAACACTTTGATACTGGCCGTGGTGGCGCACGCCTTTAGTCCAGCACTGGGGAGGCAGAGGCAGATAGTCATCAGAGTTCAAGGCCAACCAGGGTACACAGTAAGACCCTGTCTCAAAATATAAACAAACGATAACAACAAGACCTTAAAGGAGAGGCGGACTAGCGCACAGCGCACCCGCTCCTAGGACCCCGCTCACTCCTCAAGTCCAGCCTTCCCCAACAAATCCGCGCGCCTCTGCTCCCAGAGGCCTTCAGTTCTGAAGAACTGAGCATTTTATTTCTCCACACAGAGAAGTCTTTGTAACAAATGTGTCTCTGGATCCTTTCTTACTGCAGAGCCCCCTGGTAGTGGGCCTTTGAGGTTTTCACAGTCCTAAGCGAGTCCCCTTCTAGGATCCGTGGCTCTCTCTGGCTTACATCCACACTGGGTTCTTTCGCAGCTTCTAGAACTTCTGACCTAAATCTCCAGCCACACCCTCCATCTTGTCCAGTCTTTTTTATCTTGTCATTTAGCATAAAGCGATAATATTATATATGCTCAATTCCTTGCCTTTCATCAGTTCTGAAATATTCTCAAAAATTTGTTGGGAGTGTAGTGGAGAGATAACCTCCCTAACTTCAGCTCCAAGGGACCTGATGTCCTCTTGTGACCTCTGTGGGCACCAACGTGCACATAGTGACAAAACCCTCCTACACGTAAAGTAAATCTTAACTTATCTCCCTTAGTTTGTTAGGGTGTGGGTAGGAGAGATTTGGCTATTTTGTGTGTGAGTACAGTCATCTAAAAACATTTTTTCTAGTAGTCGGGGTTATGGTGAGATCTTTGAGAATCAGCTCCAGTTTGAATTTTTTGGTCACTTTCCCTAGTTCTTTGTACGCGTTTATCTGCGTGTGCAAATGTGTGTGACGGGGAAAGGACGGCCTGGAGTGCCATTCTTCAGGCGCTATCTACCTTTATGTTTGAGACGAGGTCTCTTACTACCCCATAATTCACAAAAGAGATTAGAGTCCAGGATCTGCCTGTCTCTATCTCCCCAGCTCGGGGATTACAGGGGGCTTTATTTTCTTTGTTTAAATCTGGGTTCTGGGAATCAAATTTGGGCCTCCGTGCTTGCTTTAGGCACCCTACAAACTGAGCTATTCTTTTTAAGTTTAATTTTTATTGATGCTAAGTGTATTGCTTGCTTGTGTTGGCAAATGAGACTATGAGGCTCAGTAGTGAATTGTGGAAAGATCCAGAGCAGGCATTCACTGTATTCACGCCATCCCTCCCTAGAGGCACTCTCTATAGTGCAAACTGGTCTGGAACTCACTATGTAACTCAAAAGGGCCTCAAACTCACAGATGCCTAAATTTTAGGATTACAGGCATGTGCCACCATGTCCATCTCAGCTAATCTTTTGAACTCTGCCTCCATATCTTAAATATATTAGTATGTATTTATACATGTACACACGCACTTTGGGGTTAGAGAGATGGCTCAGTCATTAAGTATGCTTCTTGCTCCTCCAGAGAACCAGAGTTCAGACCCAACACCTATATCAGGTGGCTCACAAGCTACTCTCACCTATAACTTCAGATCCAGGGGCCAGACTCTCTCTGGCCTCCCTAGGTACCCACACGCACATACCCATGACTGAAAATTAAAAATAAATTCAGCCAGGTGGTGGTGGTGCACGACTTTAATCCCAGCACTCAGGAGGTAGAGACAGGCAGATCTCTGTTGAGTTCAAGGAGAGCCTGGTCTACAGAGAAAATTTCAGGATAGGCTCCTGTCTCGAAAATAAATAAGGAGGGGGGGAGGAGGAGGAGGAGGAGGAGGAGGAGGAAGAGGAGGAGAAGGAGGAGGAGGAGGAGGGAAGGGAAGGGAGGAAAGAAGGAAACTTAAAAGTAAATTCCGCCAGGCAAAAATTAATTAAAAATAAGTGCATGTATGGGCACTGTGGACATATCTGGCACTTGCAGAGACCAGAAAAGGGCATAGATTCCCCGGAACCACAGTTATGGACAGTTGAAAGTCACCATGTAGGTGCTGGGAACAGAACTGGGGTTCTTTGCAGGAGCAGCAAGTGTTCTTAACTACTGGGTCATCTCTCCAGTCCCCTCAAAGCCCTGTCTAAAGAAAGAGAGGGGTTGCGGGGGTGGGGCGGGAAGGAAGGGGGAAAGTGAGAGTGTGTGTGCTTAGCCTGCGTGAAGCCATGGCGTCCATATCCAGTTCCACCTGTGCAGGGAGCAGCAAACGTTCTAGCCTGCCTGCAAGCTGGCTCAGCAGGCCTGACAACCTGAGTTCAGTCCTCAGAACCCATGTGGAAGGGGAGAGCTAAAACTGCAGCTCGCCCTACCCCTATTCCCACCGTGGAAGCCAGGCGGATCTCCACTTCCTTTACACCTGCACAATGGAAGTCTCTCCTCCCTTTCTAAACACGCATCCTTCACCCCCACCCCCACGCCCCACCCCTGCAGCACTCATTCATGTCCTGCCTCAGCTCATGGGTTCAGGACTCATTTCAACCTCCTACTTTTGAGGTCAATGTCTTATTGTTATCTTTCCTCTCCACAGTGGTGCAGAGAACTTTAAGCTGTTATTGTTTTTTAAGTGTGTGGCATGTGTGTGTGTATGCTTGTGTGCTTGTGTATGTGCATGCATGTGTGTGCGTGTGGACACGTGTGCGCCTGTGTGCATGTGTGTATGCACGTGTGTGTATTCATGTGTGTACCTGGGTGCATAGATGGGCAGGAGGTGAGCTGCTGTTTTAGAATTCTGTTCCTCTTCTGACAGGGTGACTCTGGCGGTCCCCTCCACTGCTTGGTGAATGGCCAGTATTCTGTGCACGGAGTCACCAGCTTTGTGTCCAGCCTGGGCTGTAACGTCTCCAGGAAGCCCACAGTCTTCACTCGAGTCTCTGCTTACATCTCCTGGATGAATACTGTGAGTTCCCGAGAATGATTCCCTGGCGATCCCTTACTGGCTGGGTTAGGCAGGAAAACCCAGGCTGGGGAAGCGGCTGTCTCCCTAACTCCCTCCCCTCCCCCACAGGAGCTCCTCAGCCAGAGTTCCCCTTCACACACCTCCCGGTGTGTTTACAGTTTATTCTTACCTGAATCAAGCACACACGTGGCTCAATCAAAGTCAAGGGTGGGGCTGCAGAAAAACCTGCACTGCACGCGCCCTCCCCTCTTCCTTAAGTGCTCCCTAATTTTCACTTATGGAAGGGGTCTTAGCAGAAGACACTGCCTAGCCATTCCAGTAGTGGGGCCACACACACAGCGCGTCACTGTGCCTTCCAGCCAACAGACACATTCTGGAGCCTTGCTCTGTAATCTTGGCTCACAGAAATGTCAAGATCTGCCCTTGCCCTTCTTGGGCATGTGACTGACACTGCGGTGTCTTGTCACATATGACACCTGCTTTCTGTGCTACCCCACCAATCCAGTGCACTGCCATACTCAACTAGAGGCCCTGAGGAAAGGCGTGGAAAGAGGTGACTTACTGAGAACATAACTGTCTTTTCCTTCAGGTCATGGCCTCCAACTGAACACTTTCCTGAGTCCACTGGCCTTCCCAAGATGGTTCTTAGCTCTGTAATAAGACCTGATGTCAGCGAGAAGGAAGCAGGGTCGAGGTCATCACTCAGTGGTAGAGCCAGGCCCTGGGTTCATCCTCAGTATGGGGGGGGGGGCAGGGGGGCAGAGGAGTGCTGGTGGTGCTCAGCCATAGAGGTTCCCCTAGTGTGCAAGAAGCTCTGGGTTGGGTCACCAGCACCTGGGGCAAAGGAGGAGGTGATGAAAACAAGTGTAAGCCTATTGAACCAGATACAGAAAGGCGAATAAAACTGAATGGATTATCATACTGTATGCTTGCATTTATAATTAAGTACCCTATAGAAAATCCACTTATAGGTCCTAAGATGAGTTTCACCACATCATGGTCTGATTCCCCCTTTGCTCTGTATTTGGAACAAGTGCTAACTCTAAGCTCCAGGATGACAGGACCTTGAGCTTGCCCTAGATGTGGGAATAGGAGATCAGGTGCCAGCCGACTAAGGGAGCAGCAATAGAGCAGGACAGGGAGGGAGGAGAACAGATACTAAATAAAGAAAGGAAAGGGTGAGAGGAAGGGGGAGAGCAGAGAGGAAGAGGCAACCATCCAGGGCTGGAGTTAAGCATGAATCAGCACCTCATGGGGACTAAAATAGGCAACCGGATCTTGGGCTCTATAAACCACACACAACGGGGAAGCGGGTAACTCTGTTCTGTCCTGGCCAGGGTGCAGGGTACCAAGAATGGGCTAGGAAAAACAAAGGGGAACCGAAAGAAGACATTCTGGTGGATGAGAAACAGCTTTTCAGAGCAATCACTGAAGAACAGACTGGAGGACTGGGGGAGTGGACAGCACAGCAGGGAACTGTGAGGCAGAGCCTCCCGCCAGCAGCAGGGGACCGCAGCATTGGCACCAGCAGACCACAGTCCCCATCGCCTCCTTTGGAACCCCACAAAGGTACAGCTGGAAGCAGACTTGGTTTATTACTTTTTTAAATATTTATTTATTATATATACAATATTCTGTCTATGTGTATGCCTGCAGGCCAGAAGAGGACACCAGACCCCATTACAGATGGTTGTGAGCCACCATGTGGTTGCTGGGAATTGAACCCAGGGCCTCTGGAAGAGCAGTCAGTGCTCTTAACCTCTGAGCCATCTCTCCAGCCCCCAGACTTGGTTTATTAAACAGAGGCGAGTGATCACATGCCTTAGACATGTGCACATGTAAGCAGAAGACAATACACATCCAAGTGTGGCTGAGCCTCTCAAAATACCTATGTGTCCTTATAATGCCCAAATACATATATGCTAACATATAATTATATATATTATATAACATATAATTATTGTATGGCTTTCTAAGATACATTGTTTAAAAGATGTAATTTACTCCACAATTTAAAGGTTAAACAAAGTCAAGCTGGAGAGATAGCTCAGCAGTTAAGAGCACCTTCTGCTTTCCCAGAGGACCCAAGTTCAGTTCCCAGCACCCACATGGCAGCTCACAACCACCTGAAACTCCAGCACCACAGGACCCAATACTGTCTCTGGCCTCCTGGGGCACTTCACTCACACAGACATACATATAAAAAATAAAAATAAAAAGCTTTTTTAATGTTGGACACATTTTAAAAATTAAAACTTAAGCTAAAAATATATGAACTTATTTACTCATTTTTCTTATGGGAAAGAATTTCATTTTGCACATGAAATTGTAAGGTGGTTTCCTGAGTGTATTTCTGTGGTTGAAGGATGAGAATCCTAAGCCAGTTAAACTCAGGGCCACTAGCTGCTTCTAAACAAGCATAGTTTGTTGTTAGTTGTATTCTCTCTTTGTCTCTCCTCTCTCTGTCTGACCATCTGTCTGTCTGTCTGTCTTTCTGTCTGTCTCTCAGACATAGGGTCTCACATGTAGCCCTGACTGGCCTGGAACTCATTACGTAGACCAAGCTAAACACGATTCACAGAAATCTACCTGCCGCTGCCTACTGGGTGCTGTTATTAATGCCTGGCCCAAAGTTTGTTAACACCGTTGTCTAGGTTTATTTGTCTTTAAAACTGTGAATGTTAGTGGGTGATCTGTGCAATTGAGTACATGTCCTCTGGGAGGCCAGACGCATGGACTTTAGTGGGTTCTGAGCCAACCTGGGTGCTGGGACCTGAACTCAGGTCCTTGGCAGGAACAGTATGTTCTTAACCAGTGATTTTGATTTGGTAAGCCATGTTGAAGTTTCTGGCTTTCAATCACATTCTGAAGTAAGGGATTTCTTTCCCTCTGTGTACCCTTAATTTTTTTTTTCAAGACAGGGTTTCTCTGTGGCTTTGGAGCCTGTCCTGGAACTAGCTCTTGTAGACCAGGCTGGCCTCGAACTCACAGAGATCCGCCTGCCTCTGCCTCCCGAGTGCTGGGATTAAAGGTGTGCGCCACCACCGCCCAGCCCCTTAATTTTCACTTTACTACTTCACCACTGTATTAGCAGAGCTGGCTACATCATGGTGTGTATTATAACCTCTACATAGATGTGTATACTATAACCTCTACATAGATGTGTATACTATAACCTCTGCATAGATGTGTATGCTGTGACCTCTCCATCAGTGTGCTCTGACCTCTCCATCACTGTGTGCTGTGACCTCTACATCACTGTGTGCTGTGACCTCTCCATCACCGTGTGCTGTGACCTCTACATCACTGTATG